AGCTTGCGTTGTTGATTTGTATAATGGCCGAATAGCATCCAGTCTACTTCGAATTTTCTGACCTAAATACATTTCTGCTGGCGTTTTACCATTTTCTAAAGGGGTGATTAGGTAGCGACAGACAATTTCTTGAACTTTCTTGCGGATTGGTGTGTTGTCGTGCTGCATAGCTTCTAGTTTATATTTTAACGTTTGGATATGTCGTTCCGCTAAGCCGTTTGTAGCTGGATGGCCCGGTGCGATGAATTTTTGAATTATACCATTTTCTTGACAGAAGGATTTGAAGGTTTTACTCTGAAAAATCGTTGCGTTATCGGAAACTAATACTTGGGGCTGACCATGTGTTGCAAAAATATTTTCAAGTAATTCAATCGTGCTTTCAGATGTGGGTGCACTTCTTCCTACTTTCACTTCAGACCACTTAGATTTCCCGTCAACAAGAACGAAGAAATAGCAATTCTGGTAAGGCCCTGCATAGTCCATGTTAACTCTTTCAAAGTTTTCTTTTGGTTGTTCCCAAACATGGGTGGTGATTTGTGGCGGGTTCTACCTAACCAAAGCACAATCCCGGCATCCTTTTACCATACGCTCTATATCTGCGTCGATCCCTTTCCGGTAACAATACCTCCGAGCCAGTTGTTTCATTTTCACTACTCCGAGATGGGTGTAATGCAGTTCTTTTAATATTTCGTTGCGCAAGGGCATTGGAATTATTACTCGTTGGCCTCTTAGTATAATACCACCTTGTAGCGAGTATTCTGGATCTTGTTTTTTTTTTTTTTAATTTTTAAATTTGTTCTTAATTGAGCTAGTTCCGGGTCGTTTCCTGTTTCTTTTTCAATAGATGTTACCGTAACTGTATTCGTGGCAATCGTATTTATTGTCTGATCTTGTACTGCTGTTACTTATTCGTCTAGGAAATGTGTGAAGCAATTTGACGAATCCTTTGCGGGAGCTCTGGATGAGCAATGAGCGTGCGCAATTTGTTCGGATCTCCGATGTTTCATTTTATAGTTAAATCCTTGGAGGAAAGATGCGTATCTAAGGAGGCGTGCCGATGTCATTGCCGGAATTTTTTCGTTTTGATGTAATATTCTTAAAAGTGGGCGATCATCTGTCACTAACGTGAACTCTCTGCCATATAAATATTGGAAAAAAATATCAACTGCAAATATTATTGTAGACTGGATGCTATTCGGCCATTATACAAATCAACAACGCAAGCT